CATTGACTATTTAAGCAATATATCCAAAGTTGAAAGAGACTCTTCCCTACCCAAGTTTTAAGAATGAAGGGGTGGTTATTGTTTTTGTTATGTTTTTTTTTTAAAGCCTAAATTGCATCTGAGAAATATTATGTGAACTTTTGCCTTGCATTTTCGTACGCATTCTCAACATGAAAAAGTGTCAGAAGTATCAAAATACAGTTAATCAAGGTTCATTGTTTACATATTATTTGTAAGTAAAAGACAAAAAATGAATTTAACAATACTGTCCTTTCGTTTCCATAAGTGATAATTACTGAAGCAGAAATCCTGAAGTATCATGATATGTATCATTTTACATATAAACATTTTGTCCTCCTTGATGTCAAAAAAGCAGCTACAGCATGTACTACAGGGAATCAACATCAAGCTAAACTTTTTCATACTCAATATACAGCTTTCACTAAATTTCACATGAGCCAAAAAAAAAAAGTTAAGATCTATTTATGTATCTTACTTGGACTACTCCACTGGGGTTGACCGAGATCATGGTACATATCCCACGGAATGCTGAATCCTTTTCCTCATTGTCTCTTATGTTTCGCAGAGAGGTGCACCTATTAAGTTGGAGAGCAAAACTTAGCTAATTCTATTACTTTTTCATTCAGTCAAGTCAGAACTAGATTACAGTATTTGATGGAATAAGTCACACTGACAAGATTATCTGAAACACTATTTTGAACACTTAGAAAGATACTTGTTGCACACAGTCTTTACTGCCCATTAGGCATCAGCTCCAGAATCTTTCTTTCCTGTTGCACTACATACAGTTAGAAAGTGTGACCTGTGTTCCATTAAATACAAAAGAAACATGTATATGAAATATTTATAGAAACTATCATTATTAGAAGCAGAACATAAAATACTATAGCAGTATGAATTATGTCAGATACCACTTACAGAACAGTTATTTAACTTTTACAGCAGCAAGCAAGCTATTTTATACATAACAAGTCTAGAAACATATTCCTTACAGCAGTTCAAGCCTCAGACTGAATCTTAAGAAATGAACAGTTTAAATTATACAGTATTTGCATGCATTATATTATCATTCTGGTGGATTTTAAAATGCTCTTTTGTAGTCAAGCTTTAACACACAAGCATGTGACAATCTTATCCCATGCATAAATTAGTAGTTAGCCACAACATAAAGAATACATGACAGTGCTACTAAAAACTCACAAACCTGATAGGACAAGATTAGTCACATGGTTGGCAATGATTAAGGATTGAGATTTTGTAACCAACTGAAAATATATCTAAAAGTGAGATAGAAGAAAGAAAGAAAGAAAGAGAGTGAAGAAAAATGAATTAAAAAAAATAATTGAATAATACACACCAGGGTCTTATAAACTGCTGTAGCATGGGGGCCACCTCTTGAGGACAAACGTAACCAAGACGACCAATTGTTATTGCTAAGGTAATGCAATCACGGTTATACACCACCAAACGCCAACCAAGACATGAGCAAATGAGGGGGGAGGAGAAAAAATAAAGAAAAAACAACAAATAACTCAGAAACAGAAGCCAACAGAACCTGTGTATGATAGTAAACATAAGATTTCACCAGTGTTGTTTATTACCACCCCCTAAATAAGAGGCAGCAACATATATGGTATACTCTCCAGGTTAAAAGAAAAATTAAAGAAGAAAATGAGAGAACACCAAAAAACACAATTTAAAATCCAAAGGCTTTCTGATGTAAGCAGTCATTCTGCCCTCTTCAGAATCATCTCTTACAGTAAATTTACCTAGCATACACTTCAAAGTTTTTAATAAAAAGTACTATTATGGATACTCTTGACAGAAAGGAATTAACTATTTTCAGTTTTAGTATCAAGTAGTCCTAAACATTTTATTTTTTTCAATATTTTGAATTCAAGACTGTAATAGGCTTACTATCTATCAGTAAAAATACATTTATAAATACTTTTACACTGAATACATTGTAGTCTATCTAATAAATGCTAAATAGATTAAACACTTCTCAAAGAGCACCAAATATTTGTTGTCTTCATAATCTTGTAGAGAATTTAAAGTGGTTGCTAACTCATAGCAACTGACTGCAGAAAATTAATTCTTTAATCCCAATATTTCTCCTGTTCAGAAAAGGCTTCCTCATAAAAGTTATATAAGAAACTGACTTCTGATACAGAAGCATAAGAACACATGAAAAGCAAAACTGCTTCTTTGGATGATTAAGTAGCGTGGTCCTTTGTTCTGAGGGACAGACAGAAGAAAATATCATCATTCAAATGTGTTTTAATGGTGTTTGCTCAACTCACAAAAGATTAATCTTTAGAAAAAGGAGAAGGTAGGGAATAATGTATCAGGATTACTTGAAGCAAAATACACGACTAATACTAAAATCCAGCAGATTTATATGAAGCAGAGAAAGAAAACCTATGTTCAAGGGACATACTATGCAACACTAATTAACAGGCATTTGTGAACAATTTAATGAAACATGCAATAAAGCAGATGATGCTTTCTCCAATAAAAGTCTAGTGTAGGATATACTATCAGTTTGAAATGTACTCATTCCAGGAAAGCTGTGGCTCACTGGCAATGTACTATTTTGCCCAGACATTACTCAATTTCATTATGCAGTGTCTCAAATTTTCGGTAGGTCTAACATAAAACTGCATTTGAAATGCTACTTTCAAATTAAAATACACTTTTAAGGTTTATCTGCAAGTTCTCACAGCTACAGTTTGTACAAAGACTAGTAATTTCTGTCAAAGCTTAACTTTTTGGAATGTACTCATTATTTTCTATGCAACTACTTTTACTTAAGGTGGTCTTGTATGTTTCCATAGAAGTGTTTTCATAGCTCATTAAATAACAACCTAAAGCAGAAAACAGTAATACTCTTGCACTTACCAATGGCATGCAGCACAATATCCCACAACAAACTTATAATTAAGTACACCACACTCAATGTTTATTTGCAGTTATGCATCCACATTTAAAGCAACTATTAAGATACTAAAAAAAAAAAGTCAGTTTTTGGATGCTTCAAAAAATTCTCTAGCAGTGATAGAAGCAAACTTTTAAATACTGGATGCTCCTCAGTTATAGGTATTACACATCCATCAGTGCAGACGAAGGGGGTTGGGGCAGGGGGAAAGAAAACTTATATTGCTATGCTATTCCATAGTGTATTTCATAACAAGTAGCTATTTGCTCCAAAATTATCTTTTCAAAAAGCAGTGCCTATAAATATGCCAGACAACTAGGCAATTTTTCCTTCAAGTTCACCTTCCATACTAAATGAGGAGGTGGGGTGTAGAGAATACTGGAGGAAAAATATGCATTGAAATAAATCTCTCTCCAATTTATCTCATACTTAGCTCAAAACAAAAAAGTAACTGTAGCACTGAATTTGTATAATTTTCAATTATGTCAAGTATAATGACTAAACTATCATTTTTCTTACAAGAGAGTTTTCAAACAGAAAAAAGTCAAAAGATTCTCAATTAGTAAAATAGTAAACCAGAAACTTGTTAAATTATTAATAAAGTTTTGCTGAAGTATGGAAGGTGCTCTTCATACCAGAACATGCCCTCTATAAATACAAAAGAAACAAGCCTCAGAAATTCTGATTCAATAAGGCATTTGGGGATTGTTCCCAATTTGGAAGGCAAAGTTGCTGGCCAGAACATAAAAACACACATGCAACTGTTAGAATTCTTTTCAGAAATTTGTTATTAAGCAACCAGGTAATAGAAGTTATACATAATTTCAGTTATGTTGTGGTAAAACTGCCATCACAGATCTAGATTTTTGCGCATGTTACTACAAATTGATCTTAAAAAAAAAGTGCATTTTTTGTAAATTCAAAGAGTTCATTATTTGTTTTATATATGCCAATTACATTTGTTTCAAACATTAGCCATATATATACACAGTACACATGTGTAAGGACATGCATATATTAAAATCAGTGTAAAGCCACTAAGTCTTTAAGTGTTACTGCATACATTTGTCATATTGTATACATAAATAAAATTGGAAGAATACTTAAATAGATGATAACTAAATATAAAATGCTATAAAGGTGAGAAAGCAATAACTTTAATAATCTAGATATATGATAGATGTTTTGCTGCAAGACTGAGACTTGTAAGAGCTTCTGCAGAACAGAGTTGTTTTTGCTTATAAAAGCCAAATACATAGCAATAAAATAAGTTCCATGCATATTTTTATATATAAAAAAAAAAACTCCAATTCCCTTCACCATGAATGGCTCATTTTTTGGGTACCTGTGTTCTCTAACAATGTCTTTGGTGTGTTGGGTCTGTTAATTATTTCTACAAGCTGGTGCAACACCATTGGAATATAAGGCTGCATCTCTATACCTGAAACAGCCAAAAAGAAACATTCAGAAGAAAATGACCATTAATATACATTATCTTTTTAGATATGGTACATTGAACTTACTGTCAAAGACAAGAATATCAAATTTAATTTAAATTTTAACATGAAAATATCACTAAGAATAAAAAAAAACAACTCAAAGCATTCTAAATGTGGAAGGATTCAAAGAAAAAAAAATTAAAAATCTTACCCATCTGGATAGAGATTTCTCCAATTGCCCAGGTGGCATTGTTACACACAGAAATGAATTCAGGGTTTAGGTTGGTTCCCAAAATAGGCATGAAATCAGCTAGAAAGAACAACATTTTAAAATCTCATCACACAATACAACCATGTTGTCCCATTACTATAAGATCATGGGGAAAAAAAGAAAAGTTTTTAAAAAATTGTGTAAGCATATTTCAATTCTTGTAAGAATTAACAAGAGCTGTATTTCTGCTATATATCAGATTAACTTGTATTTTGCAACCTAAGCAGTTCAATGCAAATCTTTTCAAACTATGTTTTAAAAATATTTCTAATAGGCTTTACCTTTATATAACTCTAGAAACCTTTTTTCACCCCTTCACGGGGGTGGGGGAAGAAAAAACATACCTGGATAGCTATGTATTCAGCTGTGCTAAAAAAAACCCCAAACAAAAAACCCCAAACAAAAAAACCCTCAACAATAACAGCAAACCACCAAACAAAACACCCCCCCAAAACCCACAACAGCCAACAACAATGAAGCCTAGAAGGCAAATCACAGCTTTGATTAAATTTTAATAAAATGTTAGTCACAAAGATTATAACATCTGCCAAATAAATTTTAAATTACAAGCCTATCCAAGCATTCATTTGTCAAGTTAAGTTTATCTGAAGAGTATCTCAGGGAAGAGACAGTGAATATCTTGCAAGTGTATAACTGATGCTCCTTGTAACAATAGATTCTAGTAGAACAAAAAAGCTACAAATTCAAGAATTTATCAAAGAAAGCAACTGTTCTAATTGAAGTCTAAGTACATCTGTTTTGCTGTATTCCAGCACAACAGGAAGCATGTTACATATAAACATCAAGCAGCAAAATGAACTTCTGCACTGTCTACAAAAAGAACAACATGTCTTAAACACACAGTTCAAAGGAGAAAAGACTACAGAATCTTTCTGATAAAGGAAAATGAAAACTTACAACACCATGACAAGGCAAGCCACAGAAAAGGGAACTTAACAATGGCTAAACCAGCCTCTTATCAGTTTGTAAAACGTGTTAATTATTTAATATGTAAAAGAAACATACCGATGCAAGGCTTAACATGCTGAAAACACGCCTTTGTCAGATCACCTAACAATGCAAAAGAACTCTGCCGTACCTCAGGCATTTTATCCTAAAGAGAGGAAGAAAAAAACCTGACAATTCTAGAAGTGTTTCCGATTCTCTTAAGAAAGAAAATCCTTGGATTAAACAGGTTACTCATCTCACCTGCATGCATTGGTACATTAGTGTCAGGATATTGCTGCGAGCCACTAGCTGTTCAATGTTGCCTCCAAGTCCTTCAGCTAAACCACTGAGTAAATCAAGAGCCACAATCATGAAATCTTTATCTGGAGCCTCATATTGGTCTGGCTGAGCATTGTGCAACTGCAACAAATAAGTACACATTTTCAAAATGAGTATTAGATTTTCTCAGGGGTATGCATAAAAGTAAAAATAAAACAAAACAAGCAAACAAAAAATTAGTTTCAGAACTGCAGCTTCATTTAAATATTCAATGGTTAATACTACAAATCTCCCTGCAAACCTGTAACTTTACATAGTTAATACATTGGTTTAAGGAGATATTCTGAAAACATTGGAATAGCAATAGAAAAATACCATGGCTTGTGCAAGAGTCTTCTGCACCAGATTTACACAACGCTGGTACACAGGTTCACAGTACGGAAGAAAGCCAGATTGCAAGGCAGTAGCAACTGACGACAGGCACTGGAATAAAATAAATAAATAAAAAGAGCAAGAGACACACACACTAACTTTCCTCACGTCCCTGAAGTACCTTTTACTTGGGAGAGATAAATTAAAAGCATTTTAAGTATACCCACAAGTAACTGATTAAGTAAAAACAACATGGAAAGGCAGTACTGATTAGCTGAGCCAAGGCAACTGTCAGCTAATTGTTACTCTCTCCTATGTATGTCAGTTGAGAAAATTTCTCAGAAGCAGCATCTTCTTAGAGGTGGCCAAGAAAGTTCATATGAAGACAGTTACTATAATTCAGCTAGCACTTACGCTAAACTTCAATATCCTGACCATGTAACAAGCCCTAACATTACCCAAGAGTTACAAAACTAATTTCTCTAGAAGCATTTTCCTGCTTCACACTTGGAAAGTACAGAGAACAGACTACATGGTCTGGTTCATACCTTCAACCCGTCTGATAATAATTTTAATGGAGGGATGAAGGGAGAGCAAGGAGAGAGAGAAGACAAGAACAACAGGGGGATGGAACAATTAAAAAAAAAAAGAATCACAAAGAAAACACTCAAGAATGGCAGAAAAAAAAATCTAAAAGATTCCTGCTAAACCTAATGACATTTCCTCAGTCACAAGATTTTCTCACTACAGTCATAATATTTTCTCCATAATGGGAAATACCTAATGCTGTCAGCTTTTATAGTCACACTTACTAACAGGAGCATCTTTAGTAAAAGGGGTAATTCCTAAAAGAAGTTGATAAAACATATTCAAATTTTAACATTTACCTCTAATAAAGGGAAGAGATCTTTATCTTCATCCTTCAACATGTTCCACTTCTGGATTAATGGAGGCATTAGCATCTGAATATATTCCTGTTTAGGACGAAAATGCAACAGCTACTGAAACACTTCATTGTGTACTAGTTTATTTGAAAGCTAGAAAATTGATATATTAAGTATTGATATATTCTACTTTCTCAGCAAAAGAAAATTGATATACTCTAATCATTGTTGCAATATGTAGAAGTAGTTTAATATTAGAATTGACAATTTATGTCTTCAGATTTTTTGCTGAGGCACATAAGTACCTTTGTAGAATTAATCTTTTCCTCCAGGTTTGGCATCAGTCTAGAAACTTTTAATAGCTGCCTGGGTTGTTACAAATCTATAGGATTGCCTCAGGGCCTACAGAAAATGTTTTTACCAGCAATGCAATCTGTCTGTGCATCTGCCACCTGCTTTTCTCAACCATCTCCCACTGCCCTGATGCTACAATCCTATCCCCCCAAGTTCCTGAAACCTCTTCCTCATCCATGAAGAAAGTAATTTTCTATCCCTCCAGAAGGGCACACTTACCAGTTCTGTATAAAGATGTTGCATCTTCCCTGACACTGTTGTCACAGTCACAAGGACATTAAGCAAGGCATCCCTGTAGTACTGTTGCTCCCAGAAAGTATCCAAAGAGCCAACAGATGCTGCCAGCTAATGCTATGTCCAAAGATACAATATTCTAAGTGACTGAAGAAAGTCCCACCATCACCAGGAGCTCCCATTTAGCTTCCTCCTCGTGCCATCAAATGTCAAGCTGGACAGGGCCAGAAAGAGATTGGAAAAGATGTCCTCTGATGGTGTGGAGTCTTAGATGGCAAGTAAAATGCCATGGCAACAACCCAAATTGTTTTATTCTAGTGTCTATGACATGTGAAGCACTATAATAAAGCAAATTTCAATAGCCATCATAAGATGCACGTGACATGTATGCATATCCTATTAATGAACATATGTACACATATTTGCCTGTGTGTTATCTCTGCTTTGTCCAAAGGATTTTGTGTTTTTATATATAAAATGCATGTCTATCCCACTCTCTGATAAAGCAATTTCTAATGATGATGTACTCCAATACATCGGAAAGACACACAGAGCAGCTTAGCTATACTGAAAGTAGATACAGAAAAAAAAATTAAAAAAAAACCCCAGTCATTAGAAATTAGCACACACATTCCACCAATTTCTTTAAAGTCCCATTTCATATCTATATTGATATACATATCTCCTCTGAGCTGAAAAATTCTGAGAATGAGGAAAAAAAAGTCACGATAATGCGAAACACATTTCACAAGCCACCATACACACGTTTATTCAAAATGGGGAGTATTTGTGTAGTGGGAAAATTACATGCAGTCTATGTATTTTACATGTAAATATTTGTTATTATTGAAATCTACACAGAAAGGTCAGCATTTCTGTTTTATAACATGTAAAGCGTGTTACAAAAACCACCAAATCAGTTTTTCAATATATGACAAGTGCTTCTACAGAACATAAGGTATACTCACTGGTTTATTTAGATGATGTCCTACAGAATCTGCTAGAGTTCCTATAGCATCATAAAGAATGAGCAGGTTTTTATGCTGGTATTTACTAAATGCGAAGACCAAAGTGTCAAGTATATATGCAAGATAAGGAACAAGCTCTGTACAAGCCTCCTCTTCTAGAGTAGCAAAGGCACTGAGTGACAAAAAACCCACCCCAAACACGTCAGTCAGTATCTTGAAACAAAACAAAACAAGACCACCCCAAAATGCCCCACACTACCCATTTCTGTTTAAACATAGAACTGTATTTAGTCCTCAAATTCATCCAAGGTATGTTTTCAAAATGGTATTACTCAAACCCAATCTATTTTGATTGAACACAAAGATTCAGCTCTTACATTGTGATGAGCAAAATTTAAAAATATTCCTGTAAAACCTGTTATGTATACATATTACAGATCTAATTCTGCTTTATGAAGAAACTTTCTTGGCAGTCTGATGTGTACACTCCTGCCCCACACAAATTGACACATAAAAGCTTTATTTGCTAACCTTCCTGCATAAGTGGTGTACCCATTCCATTAATGGTGTGTCAATTAATATTTTTTTTTAATATCAGCAGACAGGGGGGAGAAAGGAAAATTTTATCTCCTTTCAAGAGAAAGGGAATATCCCTTGAAATAATTGCAACCCAAATGTTTTGGTAATCCTGAGCTAAATATAAACAACATCACTAATGCAATGATAGGATAGTTTTCCTTTGTCATCAGTATTGACCTTGTTTATAGGCATATAAAAGCCAGATTTCTGGTCAATGAAACTTCAAATATTGAAAATAAGCAGGTGTCACATACACATAATTTCTTTTACTGCAATAGATTGTTTAGTTTGGTGATTCATATACTCTGAAAACAAGCTGGACAAGAGAAATACAAATTATCTGATTTTATTTTATTACAATTTAGAGTAATCTGTGACTACTTCAGAAGAAGCTGAACCTACTCCAGGAAAAAAACCCCAAACATTAAGAACTAGAAATGGAGTCATGCATTCATCAATAAAAGCATTAAAATAGTTTCCCATGAAAAAGCATTGTCATGGATAGTGCTTTTTGTTTAAGCTTTTGGCTCACCTGCAGGCAGCTTCTTGTACTCTCTTGTTGCTATCCAGGATACGCTTTAGCAACTCAGTCATTAATGGCTTCAAGTATGTGTCTGGGGGTTGACTAACTACCCAGTGTGCATAGCGACTAAGAGTCCAGCATGTAATGGAGCGCACAAGAGCCTTTTTGTCAGAGAGGCACTGAATAAGGTGAGGGATCAGCTCAGGAAGATATGGAATCATACCCTGCATGCAGCCTAGAAGGAAAAATATAGCTATTACAGTATGAGAATTAGAAAACGTAATAGAACTTTTTGTTATTTCCTAGAAGGGACATATTTTCATCCCCTATCACGTAGTAATAAATTTTAACAATATACAAAGCAAGTCTACCTAATTTATGTTAAGTCCTAAAAAGAAACCTCACCATAAACAATAATTAAAATCCCCAATCAAATTTACATTCATTTCAACTACATTTCTACTTCAGTGCTTCCACAATGCCCAGAAATTCTGCTTTATTAAATGGCAAGAACATCCAAATAAAATTAGTTTATAAAGCTTGGAAGTCTTGTGCCAGTCTACTCAGAGTGACCAAGACAATAAGTAGAGAAAGATTAGGCCTTGATAAAAATCATCATATCATTAAAAAGGATGCCTTAAGAAATTTAATTTTCTTCTTGTTTTCTCCTAATATCACACAAATACTGGCCAGCAATAAAATCTACAACACTTCAAGTCAGCAAAGGCAGTAATATACTGAGATTTGCCAGAAGCACTAACTTTTACCTTGCTTGACTTGAAATCAAAACCAACAAAAAAGTTTTCTAGCAACAAAGAAAAAGTATGTTCACTAGGCACTGTAGGAAAAGATAATCCATAGATTAACCCAAACATATTCCTACAGTTTGCAAAATGGACAGAGATACTGGAAATACAGGCAAAAAGCCAAGTCTATGAGTAAATACAAAGAAATGGAAGTTATCACATTTAAATCAGTGAACCATCCACAAAAAGCAGCTCAGCACACTGAAGTCGCAGGACCAGTCTCCTCCATTTCTGAAAACACTGAATGAAATGTAAGGCTCAAATTTATTAAATATTCCTGTTTTATCAAATCAAGGTAGTACTTCATGAGATACCAATAAATATATGGTGCAGAATTAAGAAAAGGAAGAATAAAAGACATTATTTAAGTTATTTAGCCTCTGAAACATGCATAGATTTGAAAATGAAAATTTAAACAAATAACTGCAGTCACCAACTAGTAGATGTAGAGATTAATCACTAAAACCAAATCAGCTAAGGATGTATACTTGTTTGCACAAGTAAATTCACCTAGAAGGAACCACAGAGCTGCTTTAGAACCAATCAAAAATTCAGCAACCTGATATGCCTTACCTTCAGCAATTGCTCCAAGAACAAGGATACCAGATTCTTTAACTACCCATTCAGGATGGAAGAGCAATTCCTTCAAAAGGGGCAAGATGTGTGGCAGAAGTTCATCACGAAATACATTAGCCAGGACATCTAGAGCAGCAGCAGAACATTTCCCTGAGGGAAATTAACAGTGTTAATCTCTGCTTATTATACAAGCAGTTGTAGCTAGTATAATCCTCATTTTATCTTTGAGCTGCCAGGGCATTAGGAGAAAATATACTTCCATTTCATTAAAATACACAGAGATCCACTGTGCTCTGGTACAAAGCCACAGCTCTTAGAAAGCAAATTTTGCATCATTTTTATAACCACTAAAAGGACTTATACACTGGGGATATTAAAACACTCACTGACAGGAACCACACCATTATATTGCAACATTATATACACTACATAATTTCAGGATGGTGTAACACTACAGAAGAGGGAAGGTCTGTGACATGAATGTAACATACTGGAGAAGCTAAGGAGAAAGAAGAAATAGCCTAAAAATATTAGCAATTGTTTAAAAAGAAAATGTTTAAACATGATCCATGTCTCAAAGCAAAAAAAAAGGTAAAATCATCAATCTCTACAGACTGAAAGAAATTTGCTGACTTCTGCTCTGAGCTTTTATATCTTACTCCTAATTCTGTGATGCACCAATACAAAGAACACCAACTTGAAATTTGTTTGAAAGTTTTTAATCACATATTTTTAGCACACAAAAGCTCATAAAAGAACAACTTCAAAACATGATTCAGAAATCCTTACTCTGGTTTTCTGCTGTGGTGCTGTCATGTCTAGAAAAATAATGCTAAGATGTATTTATAAAGAATGCTTATATTACGGAATTTATACTGCACTTTTTTTGCTTATTATGATCTCAGTTCCTTCTTAATCTGTCAGAAATGACCCAACTGGAACAAAAGTATATACAAGACAGGTAATCAGGCAAAATATATGTAGCAAATGTAAGATGCAAAAATCCTGAACTGGACCTAAACTGCTAGTGGACCCAAAGAGGACACAGATAAGTTTTCAGCTGGGAGGTAGCAACTACTAGAATAGATACCAAATACAAAACTTTTTCTGCTCTGCTCCTAGATGATGTCCAACAGGTTTGAATAAAACAAAACATGAGCCCTCAACTCAGAGCAGTTCTCCACTGCAAAGCAATAATAAACAGCACAGACTCCCCAAGACCAGCACCTGCTGCTTTCAGCTAAGACTGTTTAAGCTTTCTACTAGAGGAAAAAAAGGCAGGCTCCCATATTTAGTTACCAGGTCTCATTAGTAAGCAATGCTGCTAATTGTCAGGCTGTTCTGTTTCCTCTCTGTTCAAATTGGAAGTCAAATATAGAACAC